ATTTCAATTTCATTATACAAGAACGTTTCTTTTTCTTTTGCACTTGTGGCTCTCTCTAAATCTACCCAGAAGATACTCATGACGACACAGTTTCCATAGAAACGAATGCATTGGGAAGAGTGGGGGGGGGGGGGGGGGAGAGAGAATAGAAGGTTTTTCTAAAAGTGCCAAAAAGCCCCATAAGGATTAAAACAGAATAGCTAGAATAAACACACTGGGTCCATTTACAACAAGCAGGGTGTTCAGTTTTAATTGCCTCCTTGGTTGAGATGGAGAGAGACCTGGTCAATCTTCTACCAACCTTGTTGTCATTAGCAACTGCAATGGATTTGCAAAAGTCTTTAAAGGTGGCTCCATTCAGCACTGGGAACAAAGTGGGCAGGTTGACCTGTTGTTCAAGCAAAAAAATGCACGTCCACCTTTCATAATAACAACTGTGGAGCTCTCGCTTTGCATTTATAGCCCGCTTTTCTTCAAAATAAAGCAGAAGAAGAGACACCATTTGCGTTCATTTGATTTACGGGTTCTTTTTCAAGCAACCTTGGAAGATAAAATGGTGGGATGCTCTATTAGGATTTCACAGTAACTATTCAAAGCCATTAAGAGTGAGTCTAAATTTCAATTTCATGACGTTTGGTAGGAATGGAGAAAGTTTGGTAGAAAATAGAGAAAACATTATTACAACAGCCCCCCTCCTCCCCCCCCCAAACACACACACACCAAAAGATCAGCAAAGAACAACCTCATCCCATTTTCCTTTTGGGAAGCATCCAGTCTCCTCCAAATTGAGTCCTTGCCAGGGGTATGAACTTCAGTTACTCCTACACATTTCTGGATTTAAAGTCTGCACTCTGATTTTAAGTCAGAAACAAATCTGGAGCCAGCAGAAGTGAAAAATGGCAAAATATGGTCCATCTTAGCAGGATTTTAAAAAGAAACCAACTGGGTCAGCTGTCCAAGACAGGATTCTATAAAGCCAGCCAATATCAGTGTAAAATTCTCAAATAAAGGCACCATTGTATCACTGTAGAATTTATATTTACGTAGAGAATTCACAAAAATAAGAAAAAAAACAGATCAATCAGGTGTTTTTTTTAAAAAAATTGTCACACTTTTCTCTTCTTCCTAGTACTTAAAGGGTTGGCAAAGAGGAAATCTCCTGAAAAGTTTTTACTGGTTTTACTGGAAAGGTACCCAGAATATTTTTAATATTATTCAATCCAAATTGTGTAACTGTTTGGCAACTTTAAGAGACATGGACTTCCCAGAATTCTGGTAGTTGAAATCCACACATCTTAAAATTTCCCAAGTTAAGAAATATAGACAATCTTCATGTTTGTCATGTACACCATCCCATCCCGTCCCCCTCTTCTCCATTTCCATCTTAATCAAGCAATATTTACCAATGTTGGAATGCTTCAGGAGACGGCAGATGCGAGCTTCTCGCTCCAACTTCTGGTGATCTGGAAAAAGAAGAATGTGCATCCTTTAGCATCCCATGTATGTCAAATCCCATAACATTAGGTTTTTTTAACAGAATATCAAGGAGATAAATCAGCATTTTTCTGAAGGCAATAAGTTAGTTCAGAACTCCGTTGCTTCAAATAACACAGTAGAAGTCCCTGTTGCAGGCTGTTGGCTATAACACAAAATAGTACCAAACAGAGTAGCCCAATGCACTGCTCCCATCAGTTAGTTTTCTGTTGTGGCCCAGCAGGAGCCGTCGAAGCTGCAAACAGACTCCGACAGTGGGGGGCCCTTATGAGTCGGCTCTGGAAGATGTGGAGGACCCTGGACAGGGTTCCAACTCCGAGCAGGCTCAGAAAGGCTGGTTGGCCACCAGGAGGCGCCTGAGGCATGGAGCAGCGGTGAAAGCCAAAGGGACTGTGCTCCTGACGTCAGGCCTTGGAGCAGTGGGGAGGAGACAAGGGAGTTGGTCCTGGATGCCAGGCAACGGTGGGCAGATCAACGTAGACAACAG